CCCCATTCCAACCATGTCTCAATCCCTGTATCCCAGAGTCCTTTTGTTCCAAGGTTGTGCATATATCATTATTTACCTCTGTCCCACTTAGCCCTTGAAAACCTGCCTGATTGTTCTCCTATCTGTTTGTATTTCCATTCCCCTCCCCCTTATTGTTTATTGCCCCCCTCCTTGCACCCAAACTATCCTGTGTCTGTTCCCTGCCCTGTGCTCCACTTTCCCCTCCCTCTCCTCACCCCACCCCCCACATCCCAGCAACCAGCAAAGGTTCTCCCCCTTTAGTATGGGTTTTTTTTTTCTTAGTCTTTTACAGTAGTGGTCTTATGCAGTATTTCTCCTTTAGTGACTGAATAATTTCACTCAACATAATGTCCTTAGGTTTCATCCATGTTATGTGGTGGCTTGCAGCTTCCTTGCTATTCTTCAAGGTAGCATAATATTCCATTTGTGTATGTACCATGTTAGTTTATCGATTCTTCAGTTGATGGGCACCTTGGCTGTCTCCAAATTTTTGCTATTGTAAATAGTACTGCAATGAACATTGGTGTGCATATATCTACTCGTGTTATGGCTCGTATTTCTTGTGGGCAAATACCAAGTAGAGGAATTGCTGGATCATAAGGTATTTCTATTTCCAACCTTCTGAGGAAGTGCCATATTGCTTTCCAGAGAGGTTGGACCATTTTGAAGTCCCACCACCCATGCAGGAGTGTCCCAGTCTCTCCACATCCCTGCCAGTATTTATTGTCTTCTACATTTTTTAAATCCATGCTGTTATTGCTGGTGTAAAATGATATCTCATTGTTGTTTTGATTTGCATCTCTCTGATGGCTAATGATTGTGAACATGTTTGTTGGCTGCCTGGATCTCCTCCTTGATGAAGTGTCTGTTCTTGTCCTGTGCTCATTTTTTAATTGGGTTATTTGTCTTTTTCTTGTAGAGGGGTTGTAGTTTCCTATATATATTAGAAATAAATTCCTTGTGTGATGTGTCATTGCAAAAGATTTTTCCCCATTCTGTATGTTCCCTTTTTACTCTTCTGGTGAAGTCTTTTGATGCACATAAATTTTTAATTTTTAGTATGGCCCACTCCTCTATTTTGTCTACTTTTGTTTGTGTAGATTTCAAAATGTTTGGTAGTCTGTGTATTCCCTGAATTAGTGCCCTCATATTTGTCCCGATTTTTTCATTGATGGACTTCATAATTTTGGGATTCACATTTAGGTCTTTAATCCAGATTGAGTTGGCTTTTGTATAAGGTGTGAGGTTAAGGTCTTGTTTCAATCTTTCGCATATCGTTTTCCAGTTCTGCCAGCACCATCTGTTGAAGAGACTATCACCTTCCCATGCTCTATACTTAGGTGTCTTGTCAAAAAGCAGTTGGCTGTAGGTAGATAGGTTAATGTTGATATATTTTTGCAACCAATTTAACGTTATTTGCTGCAAAAAACTTCTTCCATGTGATATTAACGATATTGTTTTGATAATTTCCAGATTTTGTTGTATTATCTTTCTTCGGAATGGGCACACATTTGGATCTCTTCCAGTCAGTTGACCAAGTAGTTTATCTTCCACATTTCTGGCATAGATGAGTGAGCACTTCTGAAGGCAGTGTAGCTTGTACATCTTCCTTCAATAACATCGGTTCTTAATCCAGGTGTGTATAATCACCTGGAATGGCTAGCATCAGCCAGTTCTTTTTGGAACAGTGACTCTGTGTATTCCTTCCATCTTCTTTTGATGCTTCCTGCATAGCTGAATATCTTGAATATAAAATTCTTCATTGCATAGCTGAATATTTTTACCCATAAAATACTTCAATACTCATATTGAAATTTGAGGGTTGCATTTTTTCTT